TTTGATTTATGATTCTTATTATTATAGTTTTATTGTCGCAATTATTGTAATGATCTTTTTAACAAAATTACTAAACTGAATACTTCTTACTTTCACTTTTACTGTGATGAGGACAACTGCAGCTTTTGAAAATGTATACTTAATGGTAGAAAACTGATTTAAGGTCTTACTCAAGCTTAATATGGATGCCTTTGATATGCAGATTCGTCCCTTTGTAGACAAATTGATTGAGAGGCACATGTCAACGAAGCACATCATGAAACCATGATGGTGTTAAGGATCGACTAGTTATGCTTTATTGGTTTTCTCTACAAGACCTAAAAGGCCTCTATGCTTGAGTTCACTGCCTTAAATATGGTGATGCTGGAAAAGAGTTATACAATCTGCAGTTCTTGACCTAGGTGTCCATCGAACAAAAGAACATGGTTCACTGCCTTGTAATCTTGATTGACCCTCAAAAGCGAATCAGAAGCTGCTCAAGTTGGAACATTATTGCAAAGTTTATCGGAACAGTACTGGAAAATGGTAGAAGCCTTTTGGATGTTAAATTGCCTTCGTTATCATAAATGAGATCAATGAAAGTGCAGTGGCTATCCATCGCTTCTGTATTGTGGGAAAGTGAGTGGCATTGAAGATAACATCAAGATCCTTGTATTATTGGCACAAAGGCATACATGAAAGGGTGGTAGTCAAGAGCCAAAATTTTATTCTCGGATTCCCACAGATGAGACATTACGTGTCTTTTCTTGTTTTTGATTTGTACAGCTTAGTGTTCTTTTAGTGATGACAAGCATACTGAGATTGTCTATCTGGAAATACTGCAACATTATCCCGAATTTTTTAATTGAGCATCAATTGCTAACTTCAATTTCTTTCTTCAAATCTTCATTGAAGGAATGATTGATTTGCACGCATTGAAGGAATGATTGATTTACATGCATGGAACGAATCTGAGGGACAATACTACATTCTTTGTAGTGGTTTGAGAGTGCTTCTGGTTTTACATATTATTATTTTTTTTGGGGGGGGGGGGGTGTTGAACTGCTGCATGTGCATTAGTATACATGAAATATCTTCATTCCAAGACTCTGATCTATTTCCTACCGACATTTACATTGAAATTATTTGGTGAGTTGTTTGTTGGTAACTTGGTATGGGTAGAGAAGGTTTTTAAGTTGTAGAACATTGACATTGTTACTAGTGTTTATGATCTGTTGGGTATGCTTAGACGGATGCATTATGCAATGCTAGCTGGGTGTTTCATTTTATATACCAGAAGGTCAATGGAATACCCATTTCATTTCTCAGTTATTAATTAATTGCTAATCCCTTTGTTTTGGAATTCCAGATTGGCAAAGTGTTGCGGTTGGCCAATGGGAGGTATGAGTACTTTTACCTATTTCACCTGCTAAATTCTTAGTTCCTAGAAACTATTCTGTGACCAAAGCAGGTTGGATGATATTATTGAAAAACCCAACTAATATAAGCTGAAGCTGGAATATGTTCCCTCCATCGACTTTAAAGTTTTATAAGCAATAGAGATGTAAGTGCTTTAACATGGTTTTTAGTCCCCGTGGAATAGAGATTTGCAGGGGTACTTTATGGAACTTTGGTGTTTCACCCTTCTTGTCATGTAGGCTTTTTGACAGTTGAAATGCTAATGATATTTGGGTTTGATTCAGTTTCTCACATGGATCGTACGTAGTGGATAAATTGTTTGGCATTACATATATTGTACAAAGAGATTTGAATGTTTGGTCAATCAACTTAACAAATCTTTGGGTTGAAACCATTATATGTTTTGTTGTTTGTAGATGTGAGGAAATGATGTTTGAAAAATGTGGGACTTGAAGAGTAAAGCCTCTATAATCTTGTTCATTATTTTTTAGATGGAAAGGTTTGGATTTTTTTTTCAAGCTCTTTTCTTTCCTTTTCAGGATTTTTTTCATTTCATTTTTAGATTAACGGTGATTAGACTGAAGAACATGTTTATGTAAACTACTACAAATAATTAGGGATTATTTAACTATTGCAACAAAAGGGTCAAGTGTAAGGCCCCTAATAGATTTACAAAAGTAAAAGTCTTGCTCAGCTTCGATAGAAGTTGAACTCATATTATGCTATAACCACATGCATTAGCCTCCTCGGGAAATCACAGAGCGACTTGGATGATGGGAAAAAAATCCAATTTCCTTCTTCGTTCTGTAATTGCAATACATTTATATTAGTCACTAGGGATTTAAGTATACTTGTTTCTCCACCAGAAGAGACCGTGAACTTATGTTTCATGTCAAATCAGAACAAATACAATCCTTCTCCCACACATCCCTTTAGTTTTGTTCGTAAACCTGGCTTTGAATGCCACCCAATGTTATAATACACTACCATATGGCAATACCTCTGTTCATGCGTCATTGCTCACATTTCAGGCAGTCAATTATTTTCTTGGTTTAATTATTAAACAAGTATTGTTGTGTCAAGAGAGTAGATGCTTTGGTGGAGGGCATTTTACAATATAAAAAGGATTATTAAGATTACATTCAACAGGATTCCAAGCCGACCTTAGTTCAGTTGGTAGAGGGGAGGACTGTACTGGGTTTCCCCTCAGATTGATCCTTAGGTCGCTGGTTCGAATCCGGCAGGTCGGAATGCGATTTTATATGTCCCCTTTTGATTTTCCTGCGTTTTCTAGCTATTTGGCTCAACATCAAATGGAAAGGATGGTGTTGCGTGCTTAAACTAGCCTTATTTTGTTAATGCCATTTAGTTAGCAGCAACTAGTTTGCAACAATTGAAGCTTTCTCTCCACTGTCAAGGAAATTTCATTTTTTTCTTAGAAAGCTATGGAGGTAATGGTTCAGTTGAATAAGTGATATGAGCACCAAAGCTCAAATATAAGATTATGGACATCATGAGTTCATCCTCCCATCAGGAAGTATATTAAAATCTTATTTTTATAAAAGTTTAGTCTATTCCTCTTAGATCCAGTCTTTATCAATTTTATTATTATTAAGTTTTAATTAATTAATTTAATCACTTTTAAAATTTGATTTGAGAGTATATCTACATCCTTGATCAAATTTATCTCTATTAAAATGAACAATTGTCATATTTTATTGAACAGTGCGTGTTTGTGTGAATACATGTCTACAATATCTAACCACGCATGAATTTTTTTGGGTAATCTTTTTAGAATCTTCATAAAAATATTTTAATTATTAGAATATTATGAATATTTATTTATGTGGATCTTTGATATACTTTAATATTCATTAGATTTAGAAATCTATAATATCTACTCCTTATGCGTATAAATATGAAGTTTAGAAAAAACATTGTTTACAAATCGGATTAAAATAATAATATGAATTTCTCTTCTTACTCTCATCTCTCTTTTTCTTATTGTTTTGTTATTTTTATTTTCGTGACAAAAAATATTTTTTCTTCATATTTTTAGAATATCAGTGAGATTTAATAATAGTTATACAAAATTTAAAGCCACTACATTTATGTTTTCTAGCAGTTATATATATATATATCTTTTACTTTTCAGGCTAACATGTATTCTCTCCGTTCCCTTTAAAAAGAAATTGGTCAAGAAAAGGTTTAGAGCCCAAGTGGAACTAAAATTAATTTATTATATAGTTCTACACCATGTGAGATATAGGTCTCCCTACGTCATTTCGTTCAATCTCTTGTGCAACAAAAATTAAAACTAGACGGAAAGCAGTATGATCAACACTGAGAGATCACTCAAAAGGCGTATATAATATTGCACATTTAATTTTATTCCGATTAATGTAAAGCAATTCGTATCACACACTTAACTTTAATAAATGAATCTTCTAATAAAAATTTTATATAACCATAATACTTTAACTCAGACCTGCTAGATTTTTATTCGTCTTTGATATCGAATACCTCAAAAGAATTATTGAATCTTCTACTAAATGGACGGCTAAAGCCTTAGGAATTGTAAGAGATAAAAACGTTTTTTGCGGATCTGAAAAGACCGATTTGAAGGAATAATTGGAGAGGTGTTTCAACTCCACCATCGCTTCATGTGGTGTGAGAGGGACATACGTGGTCGGGAGAGAGTCAACCGGGACAGGAGAAAGCAAGCGCAGGGCTCGAGAGTGAATGACAGCGACACAATTGGAATCACCCGTCTTTCTTTTCCCCCTTAGACGGGTCGAATTCATCGAGATCCCACTCACGGATCTTACACAAGAAAATTTGTGTTCTCATTTATTTTATAGGTAATTTTAATAGTGTAAAGGATATAAATGATCTCATATTATTTTGTTAAGTTTTTTTTGTCGGTTAAAAATTATAAAATTATTACATAATTTTTTATATGTTTTAAATTTATAATTTTTTTGATAAAAAAAAATTATAAATGACTGAGATGAACGTAAACATATAGAGTGAGATATGATCAAATATGATCTCATAATTATTTTAATTGTATTTTGTAGATCAAATCTTCATTTATATTATGTTTTTAAGTTAATACTTGAAACATTATGCTGACGAACCAGTGATTGAAAAGTAACAGTTGTGCCAGTAGAAATCATTAAAATATAATTTTATCATATTTCAATCAGCAAGTTAACGTCCATGTCATTCGAGCATCAATATTTTAACAAAAAAAAAAGACTATTTTGAAACATATAAATAATCGGATAACTATTTTATAACTTTTAATAGTCGAGATACTCAACAAAACAACATCTATAATCAAAAAATCATTTTATAACTTTTTAATAATCAGAAGACTTAATAAAACAATATTTATAATTAGGAATCATTTCCTAAATAATATGGGACGTCCGAGTTCCATTAATTAATTAAGTAGTAAAAACAATGTATATTATTTCACTTTGAATAAATTTAAAATTTGATATTTATTTTAAATCTAAATTGATAAAAATTTATTTTATAGATGGACTTTCAAAGGTACTTTTACCGTTTCTTTTCTTTTTTATGTGTTCCTAAATTTTCTCGTCTCTTTCAAATCTTGGCCTAAGTTTTTTAAACCCAAACAAGTGTCTCTGTTATGGAATATTGGGTTTCAGCTTCCGAGTGTAACAAATGGCAGGTTTCTTCAATCTAGGTGAACGAGAAGAAGACAAAGAGGAGAACCTGAATTTGTACAGAAGCCAGGAGATGTGCAACAAAGGGTTCGAGATATGGCCAACGCAGCATAATAATTCGTACCAACACCAAAACGTGATCGCTCGAAGACCTACCGGCTTCAATCTCTATGACGAGTCGTCTTCCAGAGCTGTAGGGTTCACGGATGTGAGAGAAGGAGGCAGCTGCTGCCAAGATTGTGGAAACCAAGCTAAGAAAGACTGTTCCCATTTGAGATGCAGGACTTGTTGCAGAAGCCGAGGGTTTCACTGCCAAACTCACGTTAAGAGTACTTGGGTTCCTGCCGGTAAAAGGCGAGACCAGCAACAACAACAGCAGCAGTTTCGAGGAGAGAATCAAGGTGCTTGCTTCCTCCCTCTCTTGGTTGCTTTACTATTTACTTGTTGTTTCTAATGTTGTTGGACCTTTTGAAAATTAGGGTTGGAACTGTTTCAGTTCCCTCCAGAAGTGAGCTCTCCAGCGGATTTCCGTTGCGTGAAACTAAACGCCATGGAAGATATAGATGATGACCAATACGCTTACCAAACCGCTGTGAACATCGGCGGGCATGTATTCAAGGGGATTCTTTACGATCAAGGCCCTGAAACTCGTGGCGGTGAAAGCTCTCAGGCTCAGCAACTCAATCCTGAAACAAGAATGCTTGATCCTTTCATTTCTGGCACGCAGTTCTTCCCACCAGAAAGTCCATGATTTACAGGCACGCATGTATGTACGTATGTCTCCAATGTTCTACTCTTTCTTGTTGGAGGAGAACCCTTTGGACCAAAACTTTGATTTAGCTCATCGTTATCTTATTATCTCTGCTACTTTGTACTACGAGTTTGTAGTTTGTTTTATGCTAACAATCATCGAAGTAGAAAGCATACAATTTGAATGAGAAACCGAGTATGCGTACGCTATGGTTGTTTTTTATACGAGTGATGAGCAGTAATCTCCTTTTACTTTTCCGTATATTCGCAAACTATTTTATACATACGCAGATGAGCTTCATTAGGCATATAGTATTAAATTGCGGGACAACGTAACTAAATGATCATGTTATGACATTTTTCAAGAATATCGAAATCGCATCCACAATATTAGAATATAATTAATTTTTAAAAATAAATTACGTTATAATATCTGTAACATTAAAGACTTTGTTTAAAAGTTCATGTATTTTATTTATATAAATCAAGTTATCTTAATGGTTAAAGAAATAGTTATGATTTTTATAGATTTTAGGTTTAAGCACTAAAGACGGTAAATGTTTTTGAACTTTAATTCCTAAATGATTGAGAATTTTTAGAACAGATACTAATTATAATCACATTAGAATAATTAAAAAAAATTCATGTATTATATCTAAAAGTTTATTTTAATCCCTCTACTATAAAAAAATTAATATTTTACTCAATGTATTATTCTAAAGTTTCTTTTAGTCCCTGTATTATGTATAAAAACCATTTCAATTCGTGTATGTTTGAAAAAAGTTAAAATTTTGGTCCAAAACATTAAAGTTATTGTTGATTGGCTTAACTGTTTTGGTTTAAATACTCTTTAGGTCTCTATCAATTTTGGACTCAAACAAATTAATCTCTCTCAAAATATTTTTTGTGATTTTTTATATTTTTTTAAATAACTATGAAATATAAATTCAATTTAATATTCTAACTTTAAACTTGGTTGTTTTCACTTGAAATTATATTAGAATTACAACCTAAAACATAAAAAATATTTGAAATATTTAATTGAAAATTTGTATTTTGAATTTCTTTTAGAAATTTTATATTTGGAGAAGAGTAAGATTTTAATTTTAAATATGATAAAAAATCATATAAAAATATTTAAAATTTTCAAAATCAAGAAAAACTTGATCAAATTATTTTTTATTAGAAAATTATCCAACCAAAGTTGGACACGTCTCGTGTATTGATGAAAAATGTCAACACCATCGTAGATCATCATTATTTACCCACTTTCAAAATGTATATTAAATAATTTTTTTTTGAGAAGGGTCGATTTAAAGGACTTTTAAACCTAAATATTTAAGCCTTAAACCAAAAGATTCACTTTTTAAATGTTCATGGACTAAAATGTTCCTTTTAATAGTATGACTAAAATGAACTTTTCAAATGTTCATGGACTAAAATATTATTTTTAATAGTATGACTAAAATGAACTAAGTATAGTATCAGAGCAAATGTTTCTTTTAAAGTAGAATGATTAAAATAAATTTTTGAAGTATAGTACAAAGACCTATAAAATTTTTAACCAAAATCTCAAATTTTATTTTAGTGATAAAATTAAATTTCAATTAAATAAATATATTTTTAGAAGATTTAGATTGGGCTAAACACGAGCACACATATTTCTTATCATTTTTATAGAATCCAATCTCGTAATTTTATTTTCTCTGCAGTTCTTTAAAACTTTTAAGTAAACTAATTAAACAGTGGTTGATCGAACAAGCACCTTGTGTAAAACTGTAAATAAACATTCTGGAGATTGAAATCAATGCTCACATACGTGCACATTCAACACCAGCAAGCATAGTCGCCATTGAGATTGAAATCAGCTCCTGGGTTTTCTTAAAAGCTTCAAGGAACTGGAGAGAAAAATGAGGACCAAAACTGGTTCAAGCCCCCTGAACTGTCTATTCCCGAACGAAGCTGCCATAACTTTTAGCTAAGAAAAATCTCTCTTTTCACTCGATATCTTTTCTTTTTGCTGAAGAAAAATTCTGAGGGATATTATGAATGAACTGCCATGTCTTTCGTGAGGGGAACTTGAGTTCTTATGCTCTGGAAGGGGCAACGATATCAGTCCTGGTAGTAACCCTTTTAGGTCTACACAACACTCTTCCATTGTTTTGTATATTGAGACCCCTTTTATGTTCTGTTACGGTTGCAGATGCTGCAAGTTATCATACATAAAGCATTGTTTCTCAATTTCTATTATGAATGAATGAACAAGATCGTCACTTCCCTAAGTCGATGTCTGTATTCTTTCAACGCCACTGTAACCATCATTAAGGCCGAGAGTTACAAAGAAAGGAGAGACGATAAAGAAATACAACCAAGTTCCAAGTTCATATATTAATATATACATCACACATAAGTAATAATCATCTCTAGCATACATCCCTTTTTCTCAATTTAATAAAGATCCTAGCTAAAGGAAAAAAGAGTTGATTGTGCTGAGATTCAAATCCTAAATCTACTTGATGCAAGCATTTATATGTCTGCATAAGCCAAATGAGTTACACTAACCCCATTTAAGCAGAGAATAAGGGTTTTCAGTTTCTAGGACATACTAATATTACTCTGAGTTATCATTCATTTACAAGGCAATACTCTCTACTGTGACTTTGTGTGCAACGCACCCACACTTGAGACCATGGAGTCTACTCCACAAACATTGCGACCTCTACAGATCCTGTAGTACCCATCCTCTCCCCAGTTTGCTCCCCATGAATTCTTTATGATCCAGTACGGCTTGTTCTTGAAGCGTATCGGGGCGTAACCTTCAGCTCCATACCCTACCAGAAGAACTCCATGATCCAAACTTCTGAAACAAATGTATGGGCAAGAAACTCCTCCCATATACGTCTGCATGAAAGCTGCATTGATACCAACTGCAGGAAACCAAAAACATGTTCAGATTCCATTTACAGATGTCAGTAATGATGATGATCAATACCCGACACTGAAAACGCATAAAATTTACCTGCCAGTGGACCGTGCTTCACCAAATTGGCAGCGATTTGATCCTCATCAACGGAAATGACACTGAAGTTGGCAACAGATGCAGCGATTTTGGTCTTGTCAAATTTGCAGGGACCACGGTCATTCCCGGTGTAAGGATAATCCTCCTCTCTCTCAACTCCCCCAGTTTTGAGAGTGTACTCGAAAGCCGAGGTCATAAGGCCACCATTACACCCTGAATCACACGATCCATATTCTTGTGGATCACACTGAAAAATACCAGTTCCTATCTTTAGAGTGTTTATGTTGGTTAGATAAAGTACCTAAAGCTCCGGAATTGCAAAGACAAAGACAATGTAAAAATATTCTGAAAATTTTGAAGTTACACAACAAGAAATGATCTTTTAGAATCAAATGAAGTTTCTAGGGTTAATTAATATCTAAAAACAGACAGTTTTCACTTTTCTAAAGCAACAATATCAAGATTAGTTGAAGTGATTCAAAAAGTTGTAAAGAAAAGTAAGAAAGATCGAAACCTCGTGATCACAATCAACAAGCTGCTGCTCACTCAAGCTTACGAGCTCCCCTGTCGAAAATAATGGGCTCCCTCCAAAGCACCTACCGCGCTAAATGACCAGCACGATCCACAAGAGCCCTAGATTTCAGCAAAAAAGTTTTATATAGCATCATAAAAAGGGGGATTCTTAACGAATCTTTGTAAAAAGGATAACCGGCACGCTTAAACAATTTATATTTATCATTACCTGGTCTTTAACGCCAGTGACTGCGCCGTGGTCTCGCCAGTCGAAGTCCTCCGGTAAGTTGTCAGTCGGGAGGATAGGAGCCTTTTGAGCATCAGCTGGAAGCTTGAACGGTTTCAAGCCTAGAAACTGTTGGCGGAACTCCGATGGAGTTAAATCGGAGAACTTTGTGACGCCGTGGACGGCGCTCGGGTCGAGGAGCCCATTACGCTTAGCCCGGATCAGGTTAGTCTTGAAGACTCCCATTCGGTAATCGTGCTCCTCTTGAGTGGCATAGGTTTTCCCGTACTTGGACTTGAACAGCGTGAAGTGGTGCTCGGCGTTCAGGAGATGGTCATCGGACTCTCCCTCGACGCCACCGTCGGGAACTACTTGACGGATGAGAGGATCTTCGTCGCTCTTGACGTCGGAGACGACGTACGTGGCTACGTCGGAAGCGACGAGGGATGAGAGGAGGAGGAAGAGAAGAGAGAAGCGGTCCATTTCTTCGGAAAGGGATGAAGGAAAGAGCTTTGTGAAGTGACGTCGAAGAGACACGAGAAATTATATCAGCGATTCCTAAATTATTGGTACCGTGCTTGCATAACCAGATACTGACACGCGTTGTTTTTATTCGCTAAAGTAAAATATCTTATTTAAAAGATTTGATATTTTTATAAAATAATATTTTCTCTTACAATATTTCTCTTTCTTTTCTATTTTTTCACAATAATTGTTGCGTGTAGTTATTTTTCTTCACAGTCATTGTTGCGTGTAGTTATTCAATAATTATTCAAAATCCATTTAAGACAAAGTTAAAAAAAATATTATTAAATTATTTTAAGATTATTATTTAATATTGATGAAATTTATTTTTAATCGTTAATAATAATATTTGTTTGTATCAATAATTAATTTATTTAAATTATTTGGTTAGATTTTAAAAATCATTTCTTTATATGATCTTTTTATTCAATAAGTTACTTTATGATTAACAAGGTATGTTGCATGTTTGTGTGTTTCTGGGACATTACGCTGCAGTTATATTATTTTTGTTGTCTTTTAATCCCGAAAGAAAAGAAAATCAGATGTAAAACTTCCAAACAATTTTGTTTCATTATTCAAGTTAATATGAACCCTAGTCTTATACGCAATCCATAGAGGAAAAGTTAACAGGCAGACCCACCATTTTGAATTTTTTTTCTTTTCAAAATCATTATTTTTAATTTTTAGACAAGCATTGTCTTTGCTCATCAATGGTGTTGCTATCACTGTGGGGGCGAGGCAGCCCATCCAACCGGAAAGCTCCAGTTCGCACTGAACCTGCTTCGGGTTGGGAATCAATTAAAAATGCACACATAGAACTTTAAATATTTCATAATTTTTTAATAGTATATGATTATATGACATTATATGTTCAGACTAATTGAAAATACACAAATCTTATAGAAACATAACCATTTA